GGGGCCCGCGCCCGCGCTCCCGGCTCTACCGCCGCTAGTCCCTCAGGTCCCGCGTCAGGCCAGCGGCTCTGTCCCTCGCCGACGCCATGGCAGCCCCGGGGTCCCCGGCCGACTGCGGCTACATCCGGACCGTGCTGGGCCAGCAGATCCTGGGCCAGCTGGACAGCTCCAGCCTGGCGCTGCCCTCCGAGGCCAAGCTGAAGCTGGCGGGCGGCGGCGGCCGCGGCGGCCAGGCGGCCAAGAGCCTGCGGATCCAGGAGCAGGTGCAGCAGACCCTGGCCCGGAAGGGGCGCAGCCTCGTGGCCAACGGTGAGTGCTGCGCCGACCGGTCCGGCCCACCTGTGGCTCCTCGCCCTCCGCGTCCCGCACGCCCGCGCCCGCCGGGGACGCCGCCCGGAGCCTCCGCGCGGGGTGTCATCGTGTGACCTGTGCAGGCTCAACGCGCGACCTGGGGGGCGAGGAGTTCACCCTCCCTCCCCTCGGTCTGCTACCGGGCGATCCGGAGACGCGGGGGTCTGCACACACTCTGACACTGCACGCGGAATTTTCCTGTGCACGGTCCTTCTATTCTGGGAGAAAGAGCCCCACGCATTTATTAGATATTTTAAGAGTCCATCACCTCAAATATTTTGAGAACCTAAAAGCACCTACAACCTGTGGAGTAGGCTAGTGCTGCCTCGCCCGGGTACTTCGGGCACTCTGCCCAGCGTGCGCGGCCAGTGGCTGATCTGGGAGTGAGTAGACTGGGCTGGAGGTTTTGGGCCGGGCCACCACCCGGCGGGGAGGAGGAAGAGGTCGCGGAGGAGGAAAGGGACTTTGGCCCGGTCGGCAGCGGCTGTGCCCGTCGGGCTCTGGGGCTCCGGCCGCACGTCCCCACCCACCTCCGCCGCCGGTGCACGCGTGGGTGCAAGGCTTTCTAAAACATGGAACTCCGAGATGAGAGGGCTCACGGATGTCATTAGCCGTCAGAGGACAGGGCGGCTGGAAGGGGGCAAAGACGGCAATCCGGTTATGAAAAGTGGAGCACATGATGTATCCTTTTCTCCCCCGCTGAAGTCGGGTTTTACTTGTTTAGTGCTTTTAAAATGACTCTTATACAGCACATAGGCCTTCCGCAGAGAAAAGAAGGGTAGCGAAACTGAAGGATTAAGTTGGAATAAGTTTGTTTCCCCAACATTTGAACTGTTCTGTAGGAAGTAACTTGGGCGGCGGCCAATGCAGAACCCTTTAGGAAGGAACGTGCCAACAGACAGGCCTGTATATTTGAAACAGCGGTCTGGGAAGCAGAGAAGAATCCTAAGGGGTGGGGCAGTTAGGATGTACACAGTGGAAAAGCAAAGAGATGTTCATTGATTGTAGGCCTGTATAGCTGAGTGCCTACTGCGTGCTCAGAGCTGGGCTGTGTAGCTTGCATTCATTGAATCGTTTTTTAAGAAAGCACAAGCTAAATATTTTTAACCCCCATTTTGCAGACAAGCAAACTATGAGAAGATAATAATACTTATATTCTCCCACCTAGTACATGCAGAATTGGTACTTAAACTCTCAAATGTGAATTTTTAAACCACTCAATTATATCGTTAAGTTTTTTGTCTGTTAAGTGACATTAATTAGGCCCTAAGCCTCTTCCAGTTTTCCCATAAATAAAACTGAGAAAACCCTGAGAGCATGGAATGGGCTGAACAACACAGAACTGCCCCTGTTCATGGGAGCATGAGACCCTATCCTTGGCTTTAGGAGACCGGCCAAGGACTGCAGCAGGATGGGGCCAGTCTTGGGCCAGGAGAGTCCTTGCAGCGACGCTCTAAGCATTCAAGGGTCTGGCCCTAAACTGGAACTAAACCAGCTTCCTCTGCTTGGGGAACCCAGGATGCATACTAGATATTCTTTCCTACTCTGTGAGAGTGGCCAGCCTGGGAGAACAAGCAAGCAGACATCAGCAATTAAACAGATGGGAGGAACGAATGGATCCATGAGTAGGAGTGGAGGAGCGCTGCTGAACATCTACTTTGTGCCGGAATCTGTTCTAGAATTTCATATGTCCGTCCGCCTTTCATTATATCCTTGAAACATTTGCATGAGATAGCTAGGAGGATACTGTTCCCATGTGAAGTATGTGTCTATCAATATTTGCTGGAAACTTAGTCCCAGCCCTACACATGATCTGTCTTCTCTACAATATAGTGTACCAGCTGCTAGGCAAATTCATCAACATCAGATGGGTGTGTTCTTTCTGCAAGGCACTGTGCAGATGTTGAATTAAACACATAGACTAAGCTTGCTTTAAGCAAAAAGTTTAAAGCCTACAGCTAGAAAAAAAATGTATCACCAAATAAAAAATAGTAAGCAACTCAAAAGAGCAGCAAAGACAGGATGGTGTGTATAAGTACTACAAGTTCCTCCCAGCTGAGGAATTTTTAAGTTTCATGGAGCAATCGAAATTTTTGTTTGTTTTTCGTTTTTCTTCCGGTATCAGGAATCAAACTCACGACCTTGCGTTTGCCAGGTAGGCGCTTTGCCACTGAGCTAAATCCCCAGCCCCAGCAATCGAAATTTTCAGTCTCAAAAATTGAATGGAATTGGACATAAGGAGGTGGTTGGGAATGTATTCTAGGAGGGAACAGCATGTTATTTCATAGTTTACTGAGTCCATGTGGTAGAACAAAAGGCACTATCTTGGTGCTTCTGTTCAAATGCTTGGGGCAACTACTTGAGCGGCTCTTCCAACTAAAGGACAAAGCATTTGAAAAATTTTGATTACAACAGCAGCATGGGCAGCAAGGAGCCTACACAGAAGTATGACTTGGGCAAAGAGATAAGGTAGCAAATAACACCTACTTACTTTAAAGCCTCGGCTGTCTGAGAGTCAGAGAAAGGAAATCAGCTTCAAAGGACTTGAACATTAACACACCTAAGAACAGTTACGGGGTGGTTCACATAAGCTGTTTCATTAAAGTTCTTTAAAACGGTTTGGGCACTCACACTAGCTGTGAGTATTATTTTTATTATTTCCTTATTACTGTCTGAAGTGGAAAGAGACAAGCAGTTGTTGAACAGTGCTGGTCTGGAAAGAATCCTGTATCAACATACGAAATTCCAGGGAGAAATGACCCCTCTGTTAACTGCTGTTAGCTCCGGGGTTCTGGAGAATTGTGAATTGCTGACATGCCTATAAGGTTGAGGCAGCAGATAATCAGCTAGCAATGAGATAAATGCAGCTGATCTGTTGAGAAATACTCTGCCAGGGTCTTTAACCCAGCACTTCTTTCTAATTCCTTCGTTTAAGTGGGTGGTTTTCATTGTAAATCATTCAGTGACTTTTAGTATTATTATAAACTGTGCTGAACATTTTAAAGCTGTATAACACTTGGGTAGGGGAACATTTTAAAGCTCTATAACACTTGGGTAGGGGAAGGTTGAAAGATGTATAGCCCCATTGTAAAGTAAGTCAGTATGGTAGCAAAAATTTTAAATCCTTTTATCCAAGTCGCCGTAAAGATATTTAAGAATTGCAAGTTGTAGCAAAGGGAAAAATGAAAACTGTCCATATCCTATGTATTATTCCTTGAAAGTTCTACTTTACTTATTACAAAGCCCCCCTGGGTTCCTAAATAAGAAGAAAGGCATGTTTTAAATTGCAGTATGTAATACTTAATACAATGGACAATATTCTAACGCAGGTTAGAGCTTCTTGGGAAATCTGTCTTAAAAACTGAGTCATATTACTTGTATGCTTTTCTGGGGAAGTGGATTTGAATATCTGTGGTGAGTGAATTCTGGAGAAAGGAATGAAAATTGGTTCAGGACAGCAAAACAAGCAGTCAGTAGGTGCTACTGGAAACCAACCAAAAAAGGTATTGACAGGGTTCAAATTCTGTAAGAGCCCATAGTCAAAAAGGAATTCCAGGAATGAAGCAATTCTGGGCGCAAGGCGATTAGTCATTCAGAAAAGAGGCGAGATTAGGAAAGAAAGAGTTAGACGTGAGGTGGCAGGCAAAGGCCACCCTGTGTGTGACAAGTCAGTGGTGACTCTGCGTCCTCCTGACACAGCCCATGGGCCACTGTTTTAGTGTCAGGCAAACTGGGTACTTTATTCATTTATTTATTGCTGGGCTTTTGAGACTGGGTCTCCCTATGTAGTTAAGGCTGGCCTCGAACACACAGTGATCCTCCTGTCTCCATCTCCCAAATGCTGGGGTTATAGGCACGCGCCACCACGCCCAGCTTGGGTACATGTACCTTTTTAAAAAGCATAGCATTTTGTTTTATTTTTGTTGTTGTAGAAATTCTTCTGATTATGCTTAGGTGAAACAGAATGCTAGTAAAATAGTGCTTACGAAAAACAGATCTCTTACTCCTAGCAATTGTGAGACCACATCCGTTACCAGTGAAGTTTGGGTGAATGTGTGTAAAGGACGCATCAGAATTAGTGGAACTGTAAGAAACCACAAAGTCTCAGTCCCTGAAATTCATGTTGAAATCATAGGTACATGCCTTGTGTACCACAGGTAAAATATAGGACATCACCTTAGAGAGACCACGGCTGCTCTCTTGGCCTTTGAAGTAGGTTGTTTTTTTTTTTTTTTTCCCTCCCCCATACCAGGAATCGAACTCACAACCTCACGCTTGCCAGGCAGGCGCTGTGCCGCTGAGCTAAATCCCCAGCCTTCTCTTGGCCTTTGGAACAGACTGCTTGAGCTGTCTGCGTCCCGTGCGGGTGGTGCACTGTCAGGAGAATGGGGGGAAGCTCCCTTGAATTAAATATTCCAGTTATTTATGCGCAGCACATTCTCCCAAAGAGCTTTCTCTTTTATTTCACAAGTTTCACAAGCTTTTACTTGTATTTCCTTGTAGCCCATACGTGTTTATTTTATCTTGAGGTAATTTCACATTGATTTTGTACTAAATTTCAATTTCTGGTCTGCTGAATATAAATTATTAAAACGTTTTTCTTCTCTGAATTCAAACACACTGGCATTACCGGCAAGCTGTCTTCGATGGTTATGAAATCCAGTAGCAAATATGTTGCTAAAAGCTCTGGAGTTTGCAGTCAGACTTGATTAACATGACCTGTAAGAGGATTATTTGGTTCTATCTCAGATGATTTTCAAGAATTTAAAATTTTGTGGCTCTGAGATCATTGCTGGGTTCCAGCTATTTGCACATGTAAACAAATGTATTTGGACATAAATCCCATACTGCTCCTGGGGAAGTAAACAAGTAGTTAAGACAGCAGTGCAAGTGAAAATAGACTATAAATTGGAAGGAAACTTAATTTTTCTAGTAAAATGACCACATAAATCCCATAC